TGCAATCATTCAGCTCCTATTGGGTAACATTTATTCCAAATTTGAGCTAAATCCCTCATTGCATTGCAGGAGCTAGAAAGAAAAAACTGAAAAAATATTAAAATTTCAACACCCTGTAGATCGGTATCGAAGCGTTTGCGGACATATGTTTATTAGAAATTTTAGTCATAAAATAAACCAAAGAATCACCCCCTTTCGTTTGTACATGATATTTAGGAACACCCTATCAGAAAGAATTAGTTTTTTTTTGTTTGACAGTGTTTTACCTAAAATTATACCTATTTTAAGTAAATTTTTGGTTTTATTCGTCTTGGACAATAACCCAACAAAATTTGCTCTGGCCAAGTTTACCTCAAGAATCCCCAGGGGCCACGCAAATATATCTCCATTTAAAATACACAGGCTGTCATACATGAGTGTATGACATGGCCTGCATGGGCGTCGTTACGAGGTTTCACAGGGGGGGCAGTATTATAATAAGACCATTTCTATTAGCGCCGCAGGCAACCGCCGTAGACTAATTTTTTTTGCGGCCACGCCCCTTTTTGAGCATTTCAACGTACTTATTTGATATCGATATTTGTTAAAAATGATGGTATTTTTTTCCACAACAAATTCACTGTCCGCATCATTTGTTTAGGTAATTTTCCAATGGCCGGTATTATAAAGCACTGAATCGATGATTGAGTTTCATGCAAATTGATAGGATTCAACCGAAGGGTGGAACTTGAAACTCTACCATCGGTTCAGTGTTTTATAATACCGGCCCTAAATCAAGTGAAATTCAATTCCGTTGAATGTAATGGAAATGTCAGCCAATTTTTCAAAGTACAGTAGACTCGCGCTAGTGTGAACACAAAAAAACCGGACGTGTTCATATTATCGAGACGTTCACACTATCGAAGGTCTACCTAAAAATGCAAAATATTGTCAGCAATGGTCTCTAAACTTAAAATTCAAGAAAAATTAATACCATAGGTACTTGCAAACCTATCCATTAAGTAAATTTTCCCAGTTTATTGATTAAAGTGAGATGTAATTTTTGTCTAAATGGTTCTACCTGAGCATTGGATGGCTACCTACTTTGTCTTAAAGTTTCTTAGGCTTTCTGTGTCATTAGCGCGAATATATACTATTGTCTTGCTGGCAATCTTCTAGAATTTTTGACTTCTCATAAGGTCTTTGACAGTTTGCAAACTGTCAGTAACAATCGCTCAGCTAAGTTACTGAGTTATCTTGGAATGACGGCATTGAAAACATGCAGGGGCGATGCATTTTGACAGTTTGCAAACTGTCAGATACTCTTGTGAGAACAGACCCATAGAGAGTTGAAAAAATTGTGTTTTTCGCCATTTTTACAAAACTGATTAACCACAACAAACAACGAACTGAAGATTTATAGAATTTTGACCGTGCTCTTGACGCGCTGCCACTTGCGTATTCCACATTAGAGTGAATGCAGTAACTCAACATATCTGTGCAGTCCTTGTCTCAAAACCTTCGGAGAACCCCATAATTGGATAGATAAATAATCGATGAAAACAACAAGTAGGCAGAAAACGGTTAAATTCGTAGTCAAATACATTGTTCATACTACCGATATTCTCAAAAGTTTACACTACAGAATATGTACCATCGTCACCAAAAGTAACTGGGACAGCATCACATTAGATCTTGTCCTATTATATGAATTTTATTGTCAAATATTTGTCAAACTATGCATTAAATGCATTGAAATGAATGACAGTAGAATTAGTCCAGGAGATTATTATGCATTATTTGTGTCCCAGTTACTTTTGGTGACGATGGTACCTATAATGTATTCATTCTAGCTGTTCATACTACTGGGAGGTTCACAGAAGCGTGTGTTCACACTAGCACGAGTCTACGACGAGTCTACTCTGTACCTAACAAATTTTGAAAAAAAGGATAAAAGCAATACGAACTCTCTTTTACTGCTTTCTTGTTCAAAAGACTATTCGTAGGGGGGGGGCAAATGCCCCCTCTTGCCCCCCCCCCCCCCCCCAAACGACGCCCATGCCTAGAAGTGAAACTGAACCGTCATACAAATATGAATGACGCGGCCGGAACGGAAGTGGCCGTGTCATTCATATATGTATGATGTGGCAGTCAATGTGTTAAGGCGTTGTGAAACACTCGAGACTATATTACTTCTTTAATGTTATAATGTTCGATTTGTATTGTCTACATTTGTTCTGCAACAATACAATCTGGCTACACTGCAGCCTACGAGTTGCGCGCGCATGTTATCTTTTATTGTTTTCTAACTTGTATTTATTACAATGAAGCTCTCTTTTTCTAATCATGGGAGATAGGTCTATTAACTTCTTCAGTGCAAGTCCTGCAGTCACCCGCTAATTTTTGTTGCAGGTTGACGAGCATATGCATAATTACCAGAACCTCAGAGGGCATACATTATACTATCGTTGTACTTTCTACGGCCTATTACGGTATTTTCAAGACTTTGTTGCCATATTTTGAAGTTTAATGGTATATCCAAGGCCAAAGGGCTTAAATCCGAAAAGTGACAAAAACGTCTAGAGGTATTGATGTTACCTTGGTAACAAACCATATTGTAATGACTACAATTTTTTTTTTCCGAAATGCCACAAACACAAACATTTTGACTTTTTACATCACCTACTTCCTCGCCCCGTATATCACAACCCTGGGGTCCGATAAAAAATTCACAACAAGTAGCTTTATCCGGAAGAAACAGGCTATTAAACTGCACAAACCTCATTAAAAAAACTTAATTTTTGTCGAAAATATGAAACTTTGAATTTAGCCTAAAAATCTGTATGTGTAAGTTCGAGTGTCCAGCAGTTTATTTTCGTTTATTAATGCAAGTAGAAAAAATAGTGTATGCAACTCTTTGCATAATATATAGTGTATGCAACTCTTTGCATAATATTCTTCAATCATTTTTGTTTATTAGTCGTTATCTACCTTTATTTTACCTTTACAGGTTTAAATTTGACATTTTTCAAATAACCAAAAATAGTTGTGTTATGAATTCATAACCTAGTCCATAACAACACTGTTTTGTTTGGTGTCTCATGGCATAACTCAAATACTAGAAAAATGGTTATGTAAAAACGTCATAACGAAACGCTTGTAGATATAGATATTTATCTACGCCAGTGAGTTAAGAAGCTCTTAACTCACGCATTTCGAGTGGGTTAAGAGTTTCTTAACTCGCGCGTTTTCATTACCGCACCCAGTGAGTTAAGAAGCTCCTAAATCACGCATTTTGAGTGAGTTAAGAGCTTCCTAACTCACGCATTTTCATTACCGCACTCTTTCTTAGGTTTTTGAAACTATAGTGACATCAATATTATTTACCATCAAATTTATATGATACCATGCATGGTGTTATTGTGTTTTCATGGTAAATTGGTCAAGTTTATATTGTTATTTGAACAAAAGGTATGAGGTAGCTGGTTTTTAGAATAGGTAATACAATTATTATTGAAATTATTTTTTTTTATGTTTTTAAAGTTAAGAGCGTATGGCGTAGATAAAATATTGTACCATACACGTGAGTTAAACCTCATTAAAATACTTGTGTGGCTACGCACTCGTTGTGCAACTTCCACACGCGTATCTTAATGATGCTGTTAACTCACTTGTATCGTAAATATCTATTACCTACGATACAAGTGAGTTAACAGCATCATTAAGATACGCGCGTGGAAGTTGCACAACGAGTGCGTAGCACGAGCTGTGTAACCACACAAGTATCTTAATGAGGGTTAACTCACGTGTATTGTACAATATTTTATCTACGCTTTACGCTCTTAACTTTAAAAACACAAAAAAATTTAATTTCAATTGTATTACCTATTCTAAAAAACAGCTACCTTAATCACCTCAATACCTTTTGTGCAAATAACAATATAAACTTGACCAAATTACCATGAAAACACGATAACACCATGCATGGTTTCATATCAATTTGATAGTAAATAATATTGATGTCATTATAGTTTCAAAAACCTAAGAAAGAGTGCGGTAATGAAAATGCGTGAGTTAAGAAACTCTTAACTCACTCAAAATGCGTGAGTTAAGAGCTTTTTAACTCACTGGGTGCGGTAATGAAAATGCATGAGTTAAGAAGCTCTTAACTCACTCGAAATGCGTGAGTTAAGAGCTTCTTAACTCACTGGCGTAGATAAATAATTATACACCTCAGAGTACCACTTCATAAATAGAGAGGGCAAGTCGTTCATAAAAACCCTTTTTTTTGTGCGGCCAACAATCCTAAACGTCAATAGTGGGTTAATGAATGAACTACATGGAGTGGGGATAAGATTCCGGACAATGCGGTCCAAAATCAAATCCCTTTTGATATTTCTTACTCTTACTACAATTACTAAGGGTCGAATTATAGTCCTTCGACCTACTTTGAGGTTTCCTCAGACCTTGAGGAAACCTTGAACGTTTAGAATTGACATGACTAGCTTGACAAATAGTAGCAAGTGTCCATTCTAAACTCACGACCTCCAAAGAAGGAACGACTATAAATTCGGCCCTACGAATACTACAGCGCATTCGCGATTAAGTTCGGGCTGCTCTGGCAATACATATTTGCATCCTTCATTATCTGGTTACCTAAACAAAGATGAAACGATTTTTAATAAGTCACGCTCTATAAGAATACAACCAGATTCCGAGATTTTAGGCTGTGAGTGTTGCCATTTTCAGTTAGGAGGAATGAAAGTTGTGTATTTTCGTGCAAAAATACACAACTTTCATGCCTCCTCATTTCCAAGCGTGCACACAGCCTTCAACCTTTGATTTGCAGTTAGCACAAATTCAATTGTATATACTATTCTGGGCTTGCTTGTTGGTTTTAGATTTGAGTCAGCTTTGTCGATAAGATTTTTGTACTCTTGGACAATGATTAATGAAGCATGTTTATTACTGCTATTACTACTTCTACTAATACTAAACTAAAATATAAAAAACAACACATTTTATTATTGTGAAATTTAATTTCAGCAAATATGCAATACTCAAATAAACTGGAACTACTAAAGGCTAAAGGCAAATACAAAATTATAACTAAAATAATTATATAGGTACTATAGATATTATAACATTTCAATAACAGAGAAACACTACTCAGAATTAACAGAAGTGTCCATACTTTCCATAGACTTATCCTGAAGAGATATTTTATCCACAGAGGCAAGAGAGCTGGAGCTTAAACTGGGGTCTCTCAGAATGGGTTTTGGAATTGGTTTTTTCTTAGTTTGTATATTCAAGGGTTTTGGTGTCGCTGAAAATATTGTCTTGAAACTGATCTGTTTTAACAAATTGGACAACCAAGCTAAAATTTTGTAAACACAAATATAAATATATTAGTCCGAGTTTCTTCAGGATAAATTAACGTCAGCTTGGGTCGGCGTCGGCCTTATTTCCTAGATAAATAAATTCAAATTTTTCCTTTGAGACACTGACACTATGGCTTCACAACACCACATCATGCTGTCACTGGTAATAAATTCGCAAAAATATTGATTGGGAGAACACAATGTTTTAACATTTTTTTTTTTTTAGATAATCTACTTCATGTTAGTACAAAGTGTTAGCTTGATTGTCTATGTTCAAATTCTAATTAACTTTACCAACTGACTAGAGTAAAAAATTGTATTTTTTTTTGTTGGAATAGTCTATCATATAACTAATAATGTGAATGAGTTTACCTTTTTGGGCGGATAATCTAGACGTTTCCTTTTGTAGATGTTCTAATAAATACTTTACACCAACCTCTTCTCTAGCCGATTGCGGAATTTTTTGTTGTATATTCTTGATACTGAAATATGATTGTTTCTTTTATGTTTCGTTTATTTGATTTGTACACTTACATATCTCCGCGATCCACAGTATCTTGACAAAAGCACCTAACGTAAATCAGAAAATCATACAAATGATTTTCCGATACATAGTTTACAGCAAAATATAGAATTTTTCCCGATATTGTGGGGCTCATGATCTTTTTGAATTCAATGAATCTTCTTGACAAGCTCTAAAAAATATATAATTAATTTGGCGAGATGAACGTCTCCTATGAAAAAAGTTGCTGGTCAAAGTTTCTACATTTTGTTTATCCAGTAACTGCCAAAATTGAAACACAATTAACAGGTTAATAAGAAAAGTTTTTGGTAGCTTACTAAAATTGCTTTTCCATCTGAACTTCTCCAATCCACTGAACCATTCTTATCAAAAACACTTTTATGTAGAATCGATATTGCGTTTACTATCAGCATTGCTATCCAATTCTCGTCTTCTTCTCTGATTTTCAGCAAAATTGAGTCAATCAACTTTCCGTAATGTTCATAATGCTACAAGTGTCAATATGTTCATGACTTGTTTTCAAAAAACCAAACAATAGACTTACTTGATCGTAATAAATAAAAATGTTCGACATAAAATCAACTGGGAGTATTTCTGCATATGCTAATTGCCTGATATAGTTAATGTATTTACGAAATTGGTAGGCTACAACAAATAAAAATCTGTAATTATTGTGAAGTAAAGGATATAGCAAATGCGGGTCCAAGATTCCCAAGACAAGACCCCCTTTTACGGGTTTTGTCCTTATTTGGACCTATCAGAAAGACATAGATTAAACTTTGTTGACCAGCCAATGGCTAGAGAAAACTTTTGAAAGCAAATACTCTAACTAACTAATCTAGAGATTAGTTAGTGTAATTGATTGAATGCAGGTAGGTGTCTTAGGAGATTAACCCTAGGATTAGTTGTCTCTAGCTGGTCAACTGATATTTAACTCACCTTTAGCTTCAGTATTCGGATCAACTGCAGCCTTTAAAAGATCCAAAATTGCGTTTTCTAAATTGTCATTAAAGGTGAGTTTAAGATTTCCCAAGGCGCGTTCTTGTTTGCTTATTTGTTGCAAATGTTTTGCAAAACTTATGGAGAACTCGCAGAGTCTTTCAAAACCCTACAAAAATAAATACTTTGGTTTAATCAATAAAAGTATTGGAGAGACAATTTTCAAATCAAAAGGGAAAGTTGAAACAATTTAAATCATTATATAGAGAAGGGTTGCCGACTGTTACGAGCATACAACAATCAATAAGGAATTCGGAGAACCTAGTTTTTCAAATCTCTATGCCCTGCTTCCCTTCAGTTTAAATCAGGATGCAGTTGGTGCCTAATACTTTTCTTTATTATTATTATTGGTTCACAATAGAAAGTAGTTTAAAGACTAATGAGTCTATCGGATGTAGTTTTGCTTGCTGTATTTCAATCATGCAATAAGCAGTATTGTGCATCTCTGTTCAAAATAAGCAACAGTTTTCAAGTTTAGGAAGTTGTTTCTTGGAAGTTTAGCTGGACTTTTCTTTCTCTAATTTTTGGTACCTATGTCCTCTCAGATAATCATTATTACTTGGATAGAAAATTTTGCAACTATAATAGTTTCAGATTATGTTGAATGTCTCAACAAGCTTTGATTCACAAAATATCTGGGAAAGTAACCACATCAAAATGTCAAAGGTCGAAACTTCTGGACCAGTCTTCTAGAGGTTCTCTCAGATTTCTTAAAGTTGATCTTGTTGGAAGGGAACCGTGCCGGTACCCACTTATGACTTGGCTTCCAGTAAAAAATGTGTATTTTTTTTATAATCATCATGAATAAGATGTTAAGCTTATCAGGCTGTAGTTACTAGCTAGCATCTTATCTGTTTGCTTGAACAGTCGGCTCTATATTGACATTGTACATTTTGGCAATGTTCCACCATTCAAAAATTCTTCCATTATACGACTAATGGTGTACTGAATATCTCAAGAACATTTATGTGGAAAAATAGCATAGACACTATCAGGGGCCAGGGCCAGGCGCAAAATCACTTTTAAATCTTTTATAGATTGTTCTATGCTTTGATGAGTAAATATTACTGATGTTATCATCTCCCGCTCCAGGTGGGTAGATTTGAAAATACTGGCAAAGCATTCTTTGCATCATCTGTCGTAAATGATTTGTCAAACTGCTCAGCTCATTTGAAAGTCATCCTGAATAGTGTTTCCAGTATCATCTTTTAGTGTTAGTGTTGACAGTGTTCTGACATATTTGAAGAACTGTTTATTAGATTTACTCTTTGGAATTTCTTACCCGGCTGCACTGCACCCCTGACATTATCCATGTAAGATGGAAACCTTTTTTGGTTCTACGTTGGTTGAAAGTTTTGTTCTTTCGAATATGTGTTTTATAGCTGTATAGTGAGCTCTCAAAAAATGTCGTTTTAGAACTTTATGTATAGCTTCAGACTAACTTGCATTGTAGCCAAGATTACTACAAGCTCGCTCTTCCCTATTGGTGGTTTGCTGGTAATAACAAATATGTAATGTTAATTAAATAGACGGTCGGTTTTCAAAAGTAAATTTTATTGAATCAATAATATAGAATTTATTGTGTTTTGCCAACATAAATTGCGTGTTGTTTTCGCTCGAGAAAAATATAACCCCCTTAAGTGGCTCGCGTAGACTACCGACCGCTTCGTACTTTGTTCGGATCCGGGTAGTAGGTACTTCCACGTCGTCAATCGTCATCGTGCGCGAAGAGAGGAGCGCAAAACTCGCAAAAGAGTATTGCGTAACAGTCGGCTATTCTGCCCCATAGACGTCCTCGTCTCGTTTGAAGCTGTGTTTGAGGTTTGTACTGGCACAGCTTAGTATAGGCATTATGCAGCACTCAGGGCTAGTTTCTGTGATACACAAGGATACTACTGCCAGGGCCAAATTCTTGAATAATCTCGTATACGAAAATTGAAGTGATTTCGAATGTTTCCTATTCAATTTGCATTGCTGTCATTTGAATTCGAATCAACTTACGTATGTGAAAATATTCAAGAATTGGGGCCCAGGCTCGTTTTGGTAACACACAAGGTTACCACTTTCGCACACAGGGCTAGTTATCGTAACTCACAGGGTTAACGCTACAGCACACAGGGCTAGCTTTTGTAACTCACAATAAATATGACGGTAAAAAAAAGCATTAGGAATAGTACACAAGACTATCGAATCTCTTCAATAAAAACAAAACAAACTTCGACAGTTTGAACAACTTACACGACAGTTTCGCAAAACGGAAATACAATCAACATAATAGACTAAAACTAATTGATAATACATTGAGCACCCAAGACTCTAACAATAATACATTTTTTTTTATTATTCTAAATCAACCATCTCGGACCTGAAGGGCTTTAGACGGTCGCTAGCTACCAGGCCTTTAAATCTGCGCTTGTCCTTGGTCAAAGAAACAACTCGGTAACGATCATTTCTCAGTACCTCTGTAATTTTGACTGGTCCAATAAATCTTTGCATTATTATTTATATGGCCTTCAACTTGTGCTTGTGTAATCTCAATTTCATCTTATTCCCTACTAGATCACAGTTTTCTTTAGCCTTTCGTCGCATTTCGTGTACATCCTTCCCTTCCGTAACAACTCTAATTTCATTGCTTACCTGAGGACGGACACCAGATAGCAATTCGCCGGGTGCAAAACCAGTGGTCAGTGGTAGCATTGGCATTCACAGTATTGTTGTTACCTCTTTGAACTCGGAGCACATACTCATCCCAACCATAATGATCACCCTTAATTATTGCAGTTAATGACTCCAGTATTGTGCGGTTGGACCGTTCCACCTGTCCGTTACTTCTCGGAAAAGCTATCACGTTCTTCACGTGCTTTATACCATGCTTGTCACAAAAGAATTTAAAAGTTTTACAATCAAACGCTTTCCTTCGGTCTGTTTGTCTATTTGATCAGCTTTTCTAGGGTTTTGCATACTAGCTGGCTAGAAGTGCTAGGGAGCGGCTCGTTGCAAACAAATTTTGTAAAGCCATCAATGATGACTAGCAACTGCGTGTTTCCATTCTGACTCTGGCAGAAAAGTCCCACATGTTGATAGGACATAATCTTTCCCGGCGTCTACCACTATGTTTCTTCGACGCCATACACTCAAGGCAGTTACTCACATATTTCTTAACAAAGGCTCGCAGTTCCGTAAACCAATATGTGTTCTTGATGGAATCTATAGTTCTCTCCACACCTGGATGTCCATTTTCGTCATGGCAAATTTTGGTGATTCGCCATCGGACGTTTCTTGGAATAACAATTTTGGGTTCATTTCCAATGAGGCGACATATCGGGTCTTCAAAAAAAAAAACAATCAAAGATTGCTATGGTTTTTTAAACGTATGTCTTAGCAATATTTGTCTTTAATTTTGTCAATGAAATTTAATGTCAAAATGTCTTGTCAAAAATCCTGACGAACAGTAATGCGACGTACGTTTTCGTAGTCAAAGCAATCTTCGATTGTTTTTTTTTTTGAAGACCCGATACCTTATCGTCCTCGACCACGTAACAACTTTCGGCTTCACAATTTTGGATCTGTGTCTTTAACAGTTGAAGATCTTCGTCTGATGCTTGAACAGCTACCACCCAATCACCTATTTTTAGAGTGTTTACCGTAACAGAATAACGGCCTAAAGCATGGACGTGGACCATTTTGCTGCCAGGTCGATATTTGATGGAGAAGTCGTATTCCTGCATCACCATCCACCATCTGGCAATGCGGGGAGTGAGATCGCGCTTTGCCCAAGTCAGTCGAACGACGTTACAGTCGGTAACTATGACGAAGTGACGACCATAGGCATAAAGAATGTTACGAAACTTTTTAACAGTTTCCACTATTGCTAACATGTTAAGCTCGTAGCTGCTGTGGTATTTTTCTTCGCACGTGTTCATCTGTCTACTCATGTAGTTCTGTTGTTTGTCTGTCCAATACCAAGAAGTCGTCTTTTTCAATAATCCAGTCAAAGGTTTAGCTTTAATCGCAAATTCTTCAATGTATTTCCTGAAATATGATGCCATACCAACGAATTGACGTTTCAATACGACATCGCAAATTTCTTTACTCAAATACTCGATGGAACTTTTGAGGAACTCACATTTCTTGAGATTTAACGTAAGGCTAGCTGCACTAAATAAGTCCAAAACCACATCGAGTCGTTCTATGCCTTCACCCACCGTTTTTGACATAATCAGAATATCGTTCAGGGAAACCAAGGCAAATTGGTGACGTAACGGGCCTAAAACCTGGTTTATAGCGGGCTGAAAGACAGCAGGCGAATTGGACATACCAAAAAGAGCTCTGGTATACTGCCAATGCTGTCAGGTGTTATAAACGCTGTATATTTGCGACTTTCTTGGTCTACTTTAAGCTGATAGTAGCCCGACTTGAGATCGAGTGAACTAAATAATTTATTGTCGGCTAACCTTTCCAACTGGTCCTCAATCAGGGGTGATGGATATTTGTCCTTTTCAGTGATAGAATTCAGCTTCCTGTAATCAACAACCATTCGGAGTTCAAAGTCTTTCTTAGGTATTAATAAAATCGGTGCCAACATAGATCTGATGTTGAAGCCGCTCGAGAAAAATACAACCCCCGTCGAGTGGCTCGCGTAGACTGCCGACCAGCCCGACCGCTTCGTACCTACTTCGTTTGGATTCGGGTGGTACTTTCACAGTCGTCAATCGTCATCGTGCGCCAAGAGAGGAGCGCAGAACAGCATTGCGTGACAGTGGGTAGTTTTTTTTGTAAACCAGTGAAACTAGTGAAAGATTTAACATTGATACCTGATTATTTCTGTACCTTGATCAGTAAGAAAGTTTATCATAAGTATTCTAACAGATTCTTCAGATAAGTAGCCAGGCATGTATATGCAGTTTTTTTTTTTTTTAGTGAACCATCCATTGATATTTCAATTACTTCTGTTCTACTGAAGTTAAAAAATTAAAAAATGTCAAAGACGTACATGAAATCCTACCTTAAATCTGACCAAATTGTCCTGCGATCTCAACACTTCGTAGCATACAACCAAAAATTGAGAAGACATACTGGAAATTGTCGATATATCTTTGTCCAAGTCGGCTTTGCCTTGACGTGTATCTACTTTAATCAATTTCCACATCAGAGCGTGATGACAGCATGTTAATATGTTGTCTACGAACTATAAAAAAAAAGAAATATGTTATAGGAAAATAATAACTAACAAGAACCAGATAATAAGAATGGCCTTGCAATTGCAATTCTGGCTTCCTTCTCAAAATTATGTCACAATTGATTCTGAATATTTGACATTGGTGGTTCAAAGCATTTGAAGGGAAAGTGGCCCAAAAAAACAATTTAAATTAAATAGTTATTTATGTATCAAGGATACTAAGTAGATGATTATGCCCTGAGGGCGACAGCCTTACAAAGCCGAGGGCCTCTGGCCCGAGGGTTCGTAAGTCGCACGAGGGTATATATCTATTAGTACCCGTGGTGCATACAAACTTTTATGTCATACCAGGGGGACTTTATTTGAAATCGATGCAACTTTGCGTACACACAAACGACGTCATTTGCGGCGTAATTGTTAACCTGATGTTAAGAATGGTACATTATGCCCGCGCGGGCCAGAATGTGTACTTTATGCCCGCACGGGCATAAAGTGATGAATTATGTAGATGGTATCTAAGGTATAAATAAAAAGACAATAATGTACTGGTATGACATAAAAAATAATATGAGATTTCTCGTGAAAACCGTACTCCTATACTCAAAATAGTATCAGAGAAAATTCCTTATGAAGATATTATGCAGGAGCTTGTGACGTCAAACCGGCTAACCGCCTTTCGTTCGTGCAGTCGTCAGTAAAAAAGCGTGTCGTATAATTTGAATGGTTGCAATTCGCTCTAGTGAGATCGTAATTTGTTTTAGAAGTTTCTTACAAGGGTTAATACTTTGCCTCCGAAGCCGGTGTGACGTCACAGCCTAGAAATTCGTAACTTTAAACCGCGCTTACTGAAAAACGGTTCATCGTAGCAAGATGCGGGTTCAATATGTATTCTAAGATTTGAATGCACTAAAGCTTTGATTTTTGGGTCACACGGCCTTTAAAGTCAGTTTGACACAGTCCAAATGAACTCGGATGAAAAGTTGGACTAAGTAAGTTGGCTGCCATGTCATTGGTTAAGAAGACCTATCCAACTGGACTTGAATTAACAGTTGATACGATCCAAGTAAGGTGCGCACAGCGTCCAAGAGTACTTGACCCCAGTACACTTGGACCGTGTCAACCTGGCTCAAGGATGATCACAGACTTAATTTAACATCCCTAATTAGGAAAGCTCCATTTTTAATTCCAATTAACATGAACGTTTCATTTTTTGCACTTAGTCACGAAATTAAATATGTAGTACCTAAGTGAATGATAATTATAGTTATTCACGCAACTAATGTCAACATATTTGAAAAGTTAGGGACTTCACCTCCGCTCTAAAACTGAAATACTTAAAAATTGTGGTGATTAAAAACTTTATCAATTAACCCATCGAAGGCATTTCTATTACAAATCAAATACCAAATATCATAGATTGTAGAATTTTTAATCACATTCAATTACAGGAGGACAGTGGAGTTCCCGCGCACGAAATTTTGGAAGAAAACGCCAAATTGGGTTACAAGCATGAAATTTGGTATAATTGTCAAGAAACACATTTTAAGAGATCTGACCCGATTAGCCAGGCTCTACGACCCTCAAGACTCTCAATCTCGCATTTTTTTTTCAAAATGGCGGACGGGAATTTCCTCAATTTCAAAATTAATTCACTAAGGGCATGATTATACATTTTATTATATAATTTGAGGTCAAGGAATTCAAAAAAAATATTTTCAAAACGATATGACCTTCAGGCCCCTTGAAAATTACAGTTTGATTCAATTTTAAAATAATTTTAATATTACATAGGTAATTCAAACCGCCAATAGAGGGGGGTTAAAAATCAAAAATGATTGCTTAGCATAACATAAAAATTAAAATGCATGTCTTATCAAAGACAAAAAGTTTCTTCTATAATAGATCAGCGCTGATGCGGCAGTACTAAAGGTACATGAAGTCATGTCATTACCTTATTTTTCACAGAAATGTTTCAAAGTATCATATGAAGGTTACAAAATCTTTTTTTTCAGAAAAATAAGGTATTGCTATGGCTCCGTGGCACCGTGGCACTACCTCACCAGCCGCTGCTTTAACAGATACTGCAAACTATAGGGATCGTTGGTTTTGATGACATACGACATTGCAATTAGTATATGCGGGTGTACAAGGTAGGGTAGACCTGCTTTCTGACACAAGCATCTGTTGGTCTCACTTTGATTTTCACATCCACACTTCTGTAGTTCTCTCAGACCTATCCAAATTTGTGCTAGCTGGCTCCCAGCGGTTGTTGGTTAAATTCCAACCCCATCCTCCAGGTGATGGAACAGATTCACCGGGTGACAGCGATCGACCCCATATTTGACCGGCTTGATACGCAGCTCTTCTGTAGTCTTCCATTAGACTGTCTTGTGACGGTGGACACATGGCTATTGGTCGTTCTCCACTACAAAACTGCACCTTTCTCGATTTATCAACTTTTCCAACAGATCAGTGGTGGCTGGTGCGGTAGTGGTAAGGTACATGAAGCAATACCATTACCTCATTTTTCAATGAAATGTTCCAAAGTATCATATGAAGGTTAGGTTATAAAACATATTTTTCAGGTTTTGACATTCGGTGTTGCAGTTAGTACATGCGGCTGTATTGTTTGCCCAGCGGATCTGAGTCTACGGAAGGAATTTGGACGTAAATGTGCCATGTTGCCACGTTTAATTATAAAAAAGCGTAAATACTAGGCATGACGTATAGTTAATTTGAAAATCCATTTTTTAACAACAAAATATTGATAACAATAATAAAACGCTAAATATTTTAATGTAGTTGTTAGATCTATCCTTATTTTATTGCTGATTTCTTCAATTTGGTCTATTGTAAAAAATAAACATCTTCTAAAGATACTATCAGCTTTTGACAATTTGGCAAGCATCCGTCCTGAATGAACCTGATTGGTGGAGTTTTTGGCAAGATCGCCATTGTCATGGGGAACCATACGGTTGTCAATGAGCTAACGTCACCTTACGCCTCGCTATTGGCCAGGGCTCACGTCATTTTATCCTCCCATCTTGGAATATCGATTTATATAGAAATATCCAGTGGCGGAGATTTGGTCATTGCTGATTTTCGTGTACGAGTTGCAATACGATAACACTTCCAAAAAGTTCCGCACGCAGCTGGGTATTTTATGAATGAAATCAGCCATTTTTCTTTACAACTGCATTCCCCTTACCGTTGCCCCGTAGACACAGAGTCGCTGGGCAGACTTTTTTTTATTACAATAGCTTTCCGATACGAACATCTGTTAGGTTAGTTTCACATTGACCTTTACATCCACACTTCTCTAGTCCTCTTAGAGCTCACCAAATTTGTGATAGCTGACTCCCAGCGGTTGTTTGTTAAATTCCAACCCCATCTTTCAGGTTAATGGTCGTTCTTCACTACAAAACTGCACTTTTCTCAATTCATTAACTTTTTCAAGTTTGCTTCTTGCATCATATAGTGTAATAGTAAATTTCTTCAAAATTTTAGATATATTTTGTGGTATATCTGTGGTACTATCTATTAAAGATAAACAATGGAAGGCCAGGGTTGCCTCCTCGAGATAATCTACACATGCTTTCCATGCTTTGTTTTTTACTTTCAATGCAAAAAAGGAAGTAGTGTTGTACCCCGTGAAAGCGTAAAAGCGACGCAGTGCTAACGATTTTTCTGGTCCCAAATGATTTGCAACGTTATGAGCTGTAATATATCTTTTTGATTTGCTAACCCCATATAGATATCATAATTCCTCAAAGGTTCAATAAATAAAAAAATTATATTCCTATTATTACAACATCTGTGTCCGAGAATCGTACTGAAACAGATTTAGCACCGCTGGATAATCGGCAAAAAATTTTTTTGGGTGCTACGACCAAATTTGTCTAGTTTTTGTTAGAAATTTACTATACATAAGTCTTGTTCCAACACAGCAGGAAACCTTGCAATGTACCGTCACGATTCTGCGCAAAGCCTAAAATTTCGGCATAGAATCCTAAATTCGTATACATACAGAGTGGTTTCGAAACCGTTCATGGGACGGTTTTTGACGTGTTGTAACAGACCTATAGGAGTGGTTAGAAAAATATCGCAGCAACCTTCATTAGGTAAATGCCAATCCAGAATTTTAAAAGGTGTTTTTCTATGTAGATTTGGCTGCAGCAAATTCTTTTATTAATATTGTCGAAATCAATTTTATCGAAGATCTCTTGCTGTATAGTTAAGATTGCCAAACCAGATAATCTTTCTTGCAATATGGTGGACCCCAAATATTTTTGAATGCTTTTTAATTTAGAGAAGGATTTCTCACCAGAAGCAACACAAACAGGTAAAGTGAAGAGGATTCTCAAGGAAATGCTGATATTTGGTAGAGATGAAGTTAGTTCGTTTTGCAAATATATATTGTTGAATGTCGAGAGAATTTGACGCTTCAGGCAATGAAAGCAATGTTAGGGCTTTTATCTTGTTGAATAAATATTTTCTTTCGCGTCAGCCTCCATCTTTTCCTGATCAGTTAGCCTCTGTTGTGGAGCATGACAGCTTTTCAAAAGATCCTCCTGGACAGGAAAACGAACAATCGACAGACGACAAATTCTAACAACTTCTATGAAAACTATTATCGATTTATAGGAGGATAATATAATATATAATGTTTTCTGTCACGATTAGGAATAGGTTTGATGAACATAAACTTCGCTGAGATTATTGAAAAAACAGATTTCCTTGGTGCCTTGCTCATTAGAAATTGTTGAATAATTTAAAATATTTTTTTTTTCTAGGAACCTTCGGTTTTTGCTGCCCCTTAAAAGTGGCGCGGCGCCCGCGTGCGATGAACGCGTTGCACACAATATGGTCGCGGGGGCCCTAAGTGTTCCGTCTTTCTCAATAATATGCAACTGATAATATGAGTAACGAAGAAGGAACGCTCGTTCTCCTGGAAACGCTGCTCCGTTCCAAGAGTAAGGACCCTGAAGAGCTGCGTATCAAGCCGGTCA